GGTCGCCGCCGGCCAAGCTTAGCCGCCGCCAACCGTCGTCGCCGCCGCCGGTCATTTTTCTGGCGACTTCCCGGCGGTTTTCCGTCGACTTTCCGACCATTTTCCGGCGAGCCTCCCGGGTCATTTTTGGCCCCCTTCTCGCGTCCCTCACCCATTTTTCGAGCCTTAGCTACAGCTACTTAAGTTTCCAGGTGTGTTTCTTGTTAACTGCTATTTTCCTGTAAAATCTAACTATAGATTGTAGTACCGAGAACTGTGTTTGCATGCTTGAGTTAGAATAGGGTGAGGGATGCTTTGAGTATGCATGGTTATATCTATGGTGTGTGTGCTACCCGTGTGATTGATGTGGTTGGTTCTGTTGTTCTTGCCTTGATTCCAGTTGAGTAACTTGCGATTCAACCGGTTGTGCTTAAACTGTTAGCCTAGGTGGTCCTTAAGTGTGGGGGACGTGATGAACCCATGTTGTTGGTCCTAACAAGTTTTTCTTGGCTCCACCTTTGGTTTGTTAATTTTGCAGGAACATGTCACTCGACCATCCGTTCGTGCAGGATCTGCGCCTGCACCCGGATTACGCGGACCAGTTCCGCAAGGTCATCCGCGGGAGATTGGAGCGCCACCATCATCTGGAGTGGGGCGTATTCGAGCAGCTCCACTGCATACAGGAGCTCTCCCCCGCCATCAGCCACCGGGATTGGCGGACACTGCTGACCATAGAGGAGCCCACTTACACGGAGTTGGTGTGGGAGTTCTACACCACCTACCACTACCACTCCAAGGCGCCCCGGGACTCATACTCCGTTACTTTCAGGCTGGGTGGCCACCCACGGGAGCTGACTATTGACGGGTTGGCCTACGCCATGGGGATCGATTACCACCCGTACTCACGCCACGAGGTGGAGATTCCACACCCGACGGATTGGAACCAGGACGAGTTCTACCGCCGGATAGCCAGAAGCGCCTATGCGCAAGACTTCTTCGATGCCGGACAGACCTCCGTTTCCACCATCAAGCCGCAGTGGCACATCCTGAACATGCTCATCACCCGCTCGATCGTCCCCTGTGCTACTGGGTCGCACAAGATTCCGAAGCGGGTGCTCTATGCCATGTACTCGATGAGGGACCCGGAGCACATGCTACACTTGGGTTCTTTCATGGCCACCACCTTCTCCCGGTGCCACGGAAAACCCAACCATCTCTACTGTGGTCCCCCTGATCACCCGTCTGGCGCGCCATTTCGACATCAGCTTCCAGGGACTCACGGATTCTTCTACACGGGGCGGCTCCACCCCCCTCAGTCGGGATGTGCTTCACCAATGCACTCCTCCTGACCACTGATGGCACCCGCACCTGGGTGGATGGGCTTTCCATGCCCCCTGAGGAGGATGAGGATCTCGATGAAGACGAGGAGGATGCTGACTACTCCGGCGAAGAGGAGGTGGACGATGATGATGATGATGGCGGGGCCATGGATGCTGATGAGCCAGAGCCCCCGGTCTCTCCACCAGGGGACCTTCAACCACGACGGAGATCAGAGAGAGGTGAGTCCTCCTCTGGTCCTTCTGGTCCGTCGATGGTTTCTGGCCCGTCGATGGACTTCTTCACGGAGTAGTTCCAGCAGATGGGGCTCCAGTTCCAGTAGCTCGGTCTTTAGAACCAGCAGCTCATGGACCATCTGGTCCAGTTCTACCAGCAGTATTCGGCTCACCAGGCCGAGTACCAGTCCAGGCTGACGGTTGTCGACGAGCGCCTCGACCGCATAGAGACCCAGATGGGAGTCACTGGTGCTCTCATCGAGCGGGAGAGAGATCGAGGCCGCCGATTAATGGAGTACTCGAAGCACCTGCTCCAGGCTTGTCACCCACCAGCGGAGCACCACTGGACCACCCGGTGGGACCACTCCCCACCTCCACCACCGACAGATGGGGACGACGACCTCATGAACCAGATCGACTTCACCGGTCTAGGAGGCCCCTAGTGGCATGTTTTGTATGTTTTTGTTTATGTCAGCGTGCAAACTGTCTTGTGTCGGTTTATTTTCTTTCTTTTTATTGTGTTTGAGCTTTTTGGTTCCCTTTAGTTGTGCTTGTTCCTGACTGGTCCTCTCTCCAGTCCACTTCACTCAGACTGGTCCGCTTCCAGTCTTCTGCAGTCCGTGCACACCGGTAACATCGTTCCCCTTATCCTTCCCTCTTCTCCATTGAGGGCAATGTCGATCTTAAGTTTGGGGGGGGGATGTTTATCTTTTGACTGCATTAGATCTGTTTGTGTGCTTGGAGCCTAGTCCACTGTCCAAAAAATTTAAATTTGAGGGCTCCAAGTACGTGTTTCCTTGCAAATTGCCTGCTCAGTATGCTTTGAATTGACAGTCTCTATAGTAATGTGCAATCTAGGGAGGTAGTGTAGCACTATGGAGGATGTTGAAGTATAAGATTTTTCCTATCTAGCTCTCTGTTATGCTAGTTGATTTTGTGAATTAGTGGAGCTAAGACCGTTGAATTCATGTGGTAATGTGGACTCTGTTTGGATTATGTTGTGGACTCGTGTATCGAACAGGGTGCTCATGTGAGAATTGAAAAGCAGTTGGTCCTCCATGTCGAAATCATCAAAATCTTAAACATGGGGAAAGCCCAACGTATGTGGCACCATTCATTGCACAAAATCGGGTTTTGGAAGAGATTTTAGTGATCCTTAGTGGGGTACTCCTACAAGGTGAAGCTAAGCTGTCTCTAGTACAAGTAAAATTTTCACCCGTTGAACGGTTTGCCAACTCGAGGATGTGTTTTTAAGGGCACGGATAGAGCTTCCGACCCCCCTTAATTTCATTGACCCTCCACACGAGTCGAGGTAAAGGAGTTAAAAGAAGTTCTCTGGCGAGCGCCAGATGTACAGAAATTGCTCTTGCTCGACTTATAAGGGTCAACCGTGCGAAAGACTGCAGTTGGAACCCCCGCTAAGTGAATGAAAAAAAAGGAAATAAAATGAAAGTGAAAAGGGGGTTCCAACGGTGAAATGAAGTGAAAGAGCACCCCGGTACAACGAGTCCTTGGTTGTGAATTGTATGAGTCCCTTTATCCATGAACTGACTGTCTTACTTCCACTGCTTCTCATGATCCTGGCTTGAGTCTAGTACTCGCATTGAGAGAGATAGGGAACGTCTTAGAAGACCAGTTGACCTCGTAAGCTGCTATATGATCTAGAAAATCCTCAACCGACGATCGGGGTTGTTTGTTGCTATAGAGGTCTGGAGAGTTGCATTGGTTTGAGTTAGGTTTGCTTGGGGACAAGCAAACGGTTAAGTGTGGGGGAGTTTGATAGACCAATAATTACACCTGTTTTTACCCCTATTCTTGAGCCGTTTGAGAGGTTGATTCTCGTGTTTTAAGCCGATTTCACGCGAGGTTGTGCGTTTATGTCATATTTCAGGGCTCGACGTTGGAATCGAGGCGAAGAAACGAGTTTCGGGTTGAAAGGAGCACGTTTGGGTCGAAGTGTGCTGGAGGAGGAAAAATACCCGACCATGACCAGAAATACCCGGCGGGGTATTATTTTGAGCGGACCGGGGAAAAGTGGTTTTGGCGCCTGAGAAACAGGAGGGGTCCCGGTCGTGAAGCATAAATCCCCGGTTGGGGATTATTATAGAAGACCAGGGATTTTCCCCTGACCCCGACGCTGCGTTTTGAAAATGCCCGGTCTCGGCCCAAAATACCCGACCGGGTATTCAGGCCGGGGATCGCGACAGACAGCTTCTTAAGGGAAAAGAAGGCCAAAATAGAGGGGTTCCGAGTTTTAGAGAAAGAAAGCGATTCCTAGAGAGAGAGAGCGACGAACCAGAGTTCCCAAGTGCCCTAGCTTGATCTTCATCACCATTGGAGCTCGGCTCACACTTGGAGAAGTGCCGATTGACGACCAAGAGTAGATTCTCATCCTTCACAGCATGATTTCTGCATCTGAGCTTGCTTTTGCTTCTCTCTCCATGGAGTACCTTCGTCATTCATCTGGGTATGGAGAACCCTAGATTTGTGTGTTAGGTCTGATTGTATGAACCCAAGTATAATTCTTTGATATGATTATGTTCAATTGAGGTTTGAATTGTTGAATGGCATGAATCTTGATCAAATTCCTGTTGTTTCTGCTTTAACCTAGAAAGAGAATATATGCCTAGGTTGATAGAGCACCCTTGATTGAAGGTAGGGAGTTGGTGACTTTAGTCGAGGAGCCAATTCACTATTCTGTACCGAATTCACTTTGGTAGTGGAGGTTTTGTTCATTAGGGCCTCAATCTGTTTACTCCGGTGGAGGTTAGTCGCCCGCTGGAGACTCATATTGAGAGGGCCTGGAGACCTATAGTCGAGACTTCAGGCTGTTTAAGAATCTCCCGCAGTATAACTATCATTGTAACTGAACTTGGTAAATTGCAATCCGACTTAACTGCAGTCTAGGGGGAACCATATCCGGGTGACCTCTCTTGACTTGAAAACAACCGTTTATTTGCTTGCTTGTTTGCTTAATTGAACATGCACTAAAGTTTCACTGCTAGATAATAAGAATTCACTGAGTAGTCATCACATCTAGGACCCGGGTTGACAATAAAACTCAAACCCGCTATACTACGCTTTAGGAAGTGGTTACACTTGGCCATTTCTAGAGTGACAGTAGGAGAGAATGAATGAAACACATGGTGTTGACTTTGGGTTGATCATTTGGCATCTTTGGAAGCAGAGGAATGAAGAGTGCATGGATGGCAAGAATTTCGTGGAGAAATCTCTCATCTGCATAATCGAAGCCTGGTTTAATATCTACAAAATGGCTCTGCAGAATGTGGATCGTAAATGAGAAGGATTTACCCGGGTATAACTCCTCCTAACTCGCTACCACGACTTGTCGGAATGATTGCACATGTAAGTGTTAAGTATGTGTAGATAATATATATTAGATATATGGATAATTACTTAACTAGTTAATTTGGTTTGACTGGTTAGGAGTGTCTGAAACCAAACCAAACCACATAAACCAAACAAGCTAAAAACTTTAACCAAATCAAACCAATTATCCAAGTTAACCAAACCAAAAAAATTATCCAAATAGTACCGGTTAAAATGGTTACCACGGTAACCACATCGTTTGAACACCCTAATCGGGAGACCTAAAGTAATAATGCAAAAGTTTGAACCCATCCTAGGAGGAACAAGTTTGGAAGTCCAAAATAATGATAATGTTCATCTATCTAGGTAGCTAAAAGTAAATAAAGGCGAATCAGTTATAGTACTATGGACGTTCATTGGTGGAACTGAAATAGCTAGCTAGAGGTGACCGGTTGGTCAAAGATCAACATTCCAAACGGCAGCTTCACCTTCACCACAAGAAGTATGCACCTGTCTCATTCTTTCCACAGACTTGCAAATTCCGCTGCACGACCAGTCGAACGATGCCACACATAGATTTCCTGCTTCTGCTTTCCATACACAATCTGCATAATTATCAACCATGTCATGACTCGTTAAAATAATCACTATATAAATAATCAACTTGAAAGAATATTGTATTTTTTTCATTAACTTATTATTTTATTTCGTATGCTGCTAAATCTAATAGATATATGACGACTTAATTAAAGCACAAAGAGATCGATCATCATCTTGAGAAAAAAAAATCTTGAGAAGTCGGACCTGGAGGAGTACCGCAACACATGGAGCGTTCATCTACATGTTGAACCTCCAGCCCAATCAACCACGCCCCTAATGACACATCCTCATTTGCATATCTGTGAAGTATGGGCCTAAGGAAACACGAAACTCAATTAATACCCCCAACCCAGGCCCAGCCCAGCCCATAGTTAAGACGATGAACGTAACACGAGGGAAGATGCATGGAGCTAGGAATAGGAGACTTACGAATTGAGGGAGATATAGGCAGCCAGATCTTTGGAGATGGCATAGAGTTGGCCAGTTGCATGCCTAAAGTACTTGTTCCCTTCTTCCCCGAATTTCCAGTGCTCGGCCTCATAGTACTTCACCCCTCTAATTATGTGCTAATTATTAATTTCATATATATGAATAATTATAGCCAAAATAAATGAATTAACGACTTACTTCTGAAATAGAACCGGTCCGGATTTCATGCATCCAATGTATACCCTAGGTGTTGAACGATATTTTGCTAAGGTGGTAACCAGCACACCTTTAGAAGAAAAACAAATTGCAAATGGAACTGAACACAACTTAAATTATAAGTAATAAATATCACTATGGATGTATGCACGCATCGAGTAAGATGCATGTCGAACTAGTGTAAATATATATATATATATATATATATATATAAATCAAGAGGCCGATGCGAGAAGTGCAGATGCATAATACATATACCACATACTAAAGTATTACCATGAAATAATCTGTAATTTGTTTAATTAACATGGTGATGAATTAAAGTGAATTTTCTCTACCAAAAAAATTAAGGTGGATTAGTGTAGGAAGTTGTAGAATATATATATATATATATATATATATATATATATATATATGGCGAGTTCTACGGTACCGTGGGTGAAATTCGGGGTACCGCATACCTTGAGTATGAAAACACTATCTAAACCTTGAATTGGCCGATCTTTTGGACATGATACTATACTCTAACCTTTAAAGATCAAAATCTAGGTCTTAATTCTTCCAATCTTATACTCCAAGATCAATATAATTAGAAACAATAATCGACGGTTACGATTCGTCCAAATATAGGCACAAAAAGGAATGCACTATCTTAGAGTTTATATATTATGATTTAGATAATTAGGACATAGGGTTCACTCATTAAGGGTTAGGGTATAGTATCAGACCCAAAATTCCTACTAATTCGATGTCTAGATAACGTTTTCATACTCAAGGTATGCGGTACCCCAGATTTCACCCGGGGTACCGTAGAAGCCACCATATATATATATGGTGGCGTCTTCGGTGCACTCACTTTTTTGGGTGCATTCAGTGCACTCGCTTCATAACCGTCATTTTAAACATGCGATTTATGTCAAAATGATGTCAATTATCACTTATGATATGATGAACAATAAAGCACATGATTTTGCACAAAAACCATTAAAGATTTATTTTAATTTGAGGGATTTAGAGTTTAGAGATTTAGGATTAGGGTTAGGGTTTACAATTTGGGGTTTAGGGATAGAACTCAAAATTGGAGGTCTAGGGCTTAGGGTAATCCTCTAATTAGTTCTTATCATATGTTATATCATCATATTACACTAATTTTACAAATTAAAATTCAAAATCCGACACCTTAAGACTAGTTTTTGAGTTGGGTGCATTGAACGCACTCATTTTAGTGAGTGCACCGAAGTAGTCACCATATATATATATATATATGTATGGGTGTCAATTGTATATGTTGTATTTGTATAGTATGTACATGCATATGCATATGAAAACACGTGTACGTACACACGCACCTAAGTTGAGGTGAACGTCGTCATCAACCTTGACGTAGAAGTGGGCGTCCCAAATGGAGGCGGCAGTAGAGAAATAGAGCCTGGTCTTGGTGGAGAGCTGGTGGTAACCTTCGACGTGGTTGAGCCTGAGGAAGTCATTGTGTTTGTCTTGCTCAGCGTCGAGTGCCTTGTCGAGAACTCCCCCAGGGGTGGCGCTGTGGCCTATCACGAACCTTATCACTATCCCTTTTTCCTTCTCCAGGGCCTCGAGCTTCACACCTTTCGGCATCCAAGTCTCCCGAACCGACTCCCGCCGTTTCCTGCTGCTGAATGCTGTGTTGATTCCAATCACTACGAACGCCTTTTGCAGTTTCAGTTCCAGTCCTAGCCCTAGCCCAACTACTCCCGGCGTCGACGTTGATGATGAATCATTGATCTTACTACTTGATAAATTTCTAGCATTAACATTGTTCGTAACTTGCCGGGGACTTCCCCTTGCAGCAGCAGGCTCTTGCTGTTGCCTTGTTCTAGCCACTGCTAGTTCCATCTCTAATGACGACATCGTTGTCTCCAGCGACCTGCAGCACGCCATATACGATCAGTTTGCTCCATCCGAACTTCTCCCTCTCCCTCTCCCTCTCCCTCTCCCTCTCCCTATATATATACATACATAAAATTAAATGTCTCGATCTCGATTATGTATATGGCTTACTTGATAGCTTGATGGGTCCTCTCTACTTCATCCATTATATCTCCAATAGCAGCAGCTGCCGGCCTCTCCTCCGCCAGTTTCTATTTAATGAAAATTTTGGACATGCAATGCAATACTACTCATGAGTACGTACCATGAGTATAAAATGAACTAGATAGAGTAGAAATCCTAAAAATATTTATAGTACATTGACAAACTAGCTAGCCAGAAGTTAAGTACTGGACATTATGTATAAAGATGTAGAAGGTAAAAATATTTCCTAGATATGTTGTATACAAAAGAGATTATGTGAATGTACACACACACATATATATATATATATATTAGTGTACGTACACGCTTGTGCTCGCAGTCGTGCTTGGCTTGGTTCGGTTCAGTGGAAAAATTATGAGGAGTGAGCGGCGGAGGAACAAGTTGTTTATGGTTGTCTTTGGCAGCTGAAGAATAGCTTTTGCGACTACTGCCACTCCAGCTGGTAAACAGCGATCCCGCCACAAAGCAACCCATGCATAGCAGTATTATGGCTCTGCCTGATGATACGATCGGCTTCCCCCTCATTCTTAGCTGCCGCCCCAGAGACTGCTCGATTCCTAGCTTGCTACATTAATCAAACATTTAGATATGTAATATCACTCTCTCACACTCATATACAAATATAGATATCCCAATAATGAAAGCAAGAAATAAATACCTTTGGGCTTAGTAATTAAGAACGACAAATAGTACCGAGTAAATGAAGAAGAAGGATGACTGGATGATATTTATGAAAATTGAAAACTGAGTGGGGGAGACAAAAGATTTTGATTTATTCAACTTTTGGAGGATCGGTGGATGGTGTTTGACGACGAATCTAGCTTAGCTAATTTTATTGATAATCTTCCCACCTTCTTTCTGCTAATTCATCGATTAATTAGCTAGTAGCTAGCCACCAAGCAATCCACAGTTTTAGTTTTCTTCTCCCTCTCTCTTGCTAAACGAATGCTCGGGTATTTGGAGTTGGTAGTTCAATCATGACTTTTTCATGCTTCAACAAACTTCTCTTAACATCAATAATCAACATGCATCCACCAACACACTTCTCTACCCTAGAAAGTTGCTTCTGTCGCTAGTTGATGAAACGGCCTTTAAGGCCAGGTCCAGTTGGATACGAAGGAGATGTTATTAGACAGGCCCAAAGGAATATAGGAGGGAAGGATTGAAATATCGTACCGGAGATTGTATCGGAAAAGTCAGCGGTAGGATATTTTATGCTAAAATCGTGGTTTAACTCTGGTTCAACCTCTCAATACCGTTAAATACCGCCAATACAGTACGGTATTTCAATCCTTGATTGGAGACAATTATCATTGCAATTTTTTTTTCAAACGGATAGAGGTAATAAAAGATTCTCACTATACAACATTTTCACCAAAATTTCTTGACCTACTAGAGTTTGGTGCAGTTCGTTGGTGTCAATGGCGAACAACAAACTATGCCACAGAAGTCAAAAGCGTTGAATTTAATTGATGAACAAAACTTGTATGTAGGAGCAACAAGTGATGTACATTTGCTCGCTGGAAAAACAAGCGATTCAGTGTGATCATAGTGGACACCACCGATCGACACGGATTAATGTTTGAACAAGCGGATGGCGACACATGGCGTTAATCACGTGGTGGAGGAACGAAAATCGATCAAACACTCGTTTACCACTCGTATAATCATTGTATTTAGGAACGATAATCGATCCCAAGATTATTGTCCTACATTGCCAACTCAAACATGGTAGGTACGCAAAGGAACCAACCCAATCACCATACGCCTCGATCATGGCTTTTGCTTTTCATGTCATGCCTTTTTGTACCTTATGGTGTAACCATGACGATTCTTCACTTCTGCAATGAGCCACTTTCACCGCATTCAAGTTATGATGGTCTTGTGAAACAATCGATGACCTGCATATGTGGGTATTCTCTTGTAAATCAACCAAACCACGTGCCTTTAACCATCGCAACGCGAACTTGCACATGCATCTTTGTTCGAACTTTTCACAACAGACTCGAATTTGTTTATTGTCTTATAGGATGGCATGATACTGAAAGCTCTTCCTTAATTGCTTCTTCTTTCAAAGCATCTACAATCTAGGCCTTGGATCCAAACGAATGCTCACCATAAAAGCTGAGGTCGCATTCCAACTAGGAGTAGGGGGGTCTGATTCGTCATTGTGAGCATAGAGTGGATGTTGGAATGATGGCGTAGTGGAGTTTGGGAGGTTTGAATACTCTTCCTTCCTCGTCATCCACATCTTCCAAATTTTATGTATCTTCACTGCTCATTGATGAAAATCCTCCATATAACTCACATCACTATTGTATTCACCAACCGGTTTATCCACATAGTTGTCATCATTTTGACCATCTTGTGTGGAACAACGGATTCTAGCCCATTCTTACCCCATTGTGTCCATTGTTGCCCCTCATACTCTATAGTTTATCCAAATGCAATAAGATCCTCATATACTAACCATGGTACCCCATTAGCAGGGCCACCACCGGAATAACCACCATATTCTCCTGAACCTCGATACCCACTATCATCTCCCCTATAGTCTCCCGAATATCCACCTTTTTTGTGACCTCCTGAACTACCACTCTCATAGTCATACCTGACATAACTATCAACATTGTTTGAAACTTGTGCACCACTAGGGATGGCAATCAAACCCATGACCGTGGGTACCCGAACGCCACCAATCTAGTCAACGCGGGGAATCCCCGCTTTGAATGGGTATGTGTTGAAGGAAGCCTGTCAATGGCAAAATTGATTAAGAAATCTCAAACCTCAAGCTGTATAAAAGTTTCCGAGACTTACCAAAAGATGAAGCTTACCAACATGGAAAGACGCCAAGAGAGGAGGAAATCAAATCAATCAGGAGAGATCAAGGCCAACGGGCAGCAAAGAAGACTATATCAGGCGAGCCATACCCAACTGAAGAGTAACACCTTTTTCTGGAAAAATCAAGCTGCAGAGTTGAGAGTCAATTGTAGTCTTGATAGAGAAAAATTGAGTGTGGCAAATCAGGGAGAATTGCTTTGAAGTTCTGTGAGTAGACAGGGAGTTGATACACAGAAGGATTGAACGTCTTGTTAAGCAGGGAGCTGGTCAAGAGTGTTCATCGTATTGTAAAACTGAGAAAAACCATTAGTGGTTACGCAAGAGTTCTCAAGAGGAGAATCTCTTGCCGTGGATTAGTCGATATTGGGATCCTTCTTCTCCCAATATCGGATACCACGTAAAACTGGGTTCCTGAGTTGTGTTTGTGTTATTGTTCTTTTATTTGTGTTGCTCTGTTTCTGGTTGTTCGAAGGAAAAGCAGAAAGGAGTGAACAGGAACCTCCTGGAGAAGAAGCACTGATCCTAAAGATTGGACTTCAGGGTAAACGAGCCCATTGACTTGGCGGTACACCTCTCTTAAGTAAAAGAATCAAAAGCCCGGTCCAATATAATTTTAACAGTCCATTTCTTTTATCAAAATAGAGAACAAATCATTTTATCAATTCACTTTTAGCATTTTGTGAATCTACACTTGATCTCTCTGGTTCGATTAGGGTTTCTTGCAGCTGCGAAAAAGCGAAGGTAAGGCGAAGAAGAATCGGTTGGTCTCGCGCTCGACCACATCTACAGTATGGGTAAAACCCACAAAACGTTTGACGGGTATGGAGCGGGTATAGTTTTAGCCACCCCCGCCCCATCAGGAGCATTTCTTCACATATAAAAAATACATTGATTAAATTGTAACCTATCAATAATAGTGAGGGTAACTCAAGAAAATAAATTGTGAAAATGCAATTGGGTGGGCACCCAAATCAAAATTTAATTCCTTATTTTGTTGGATTAGAAGAAAATCTCAGTTTTCCTCCCGTCCTTGTGGAGATATATTGTTTCCTCTCCTGTACTCGTGGAGTATCTCTTTGTTTCTGGCTGCTCCAGCCACCCTAGCTACCGGCTCTGTTCATATTTTCCTTCCCCCTTTTCCTACTCTCCCTCTATTCCTCCAAACACAAACTCACATTCTCTAGCGACATTCTCAACCCTGAAACTCAAATGGCAGAGGACCTAGACAAACGATTGCAGAATCTTCTCCTAACGGATGAGGAAGCAACAACAGTGATGGTCAACAAATCCCACCTAAACCTAGCAATGGACGAAACTGTTGAAGAACTAGGTCTGGTAGGCAAGCTATTCACAGCAAAAGTCCCGAATCTGAGTACCCTGGTGAAGACCATGAAGCCTGCATGGAACCTGACAAAGGACTTCGATTTTTGAGAGATTCGATAAGAACATCTATGTAGTGCAACTCCGCAGATTTGAAGATCGGAAGAAGATCTGTTATAAACGCGCTGCTACGGATCGGGAAACCGCCGGGATCGACAAAGCAAGAATACGAAAGCGAGAATCGAAAACACGACACACGATTTACGTGGTTCTAATACGCCCCTGGGGGGTGTATGTTTATCAAAGTAACGCAGCTAACGACTCAATCGAAGAATCGATTGAGCTCGAATCAAGAACGAAGCGTTCTTAATACGAACTTGGATAAAACGGAACCAAAGGGACAAATCCACACCTGGGGATAGCTCGATTGGTATAAAAGGGTAGCTGCTCGACCACGATTGAAGAGGATATTCAATCGATACAAAGCTCACAAGCTTGGAATCCACCAAACTCAAACAAGTCGCAACTTGCACAAAACCAAAGGTTTTTCGATTAATCAAAGTCTTCTTTTTTACAACGAAATAGAAGGCTATTTATAGCCAATAAAACCTAATACAAACCTAATAGAACTAGGAAACAATTAAGGTAAAAGTCTACACTAAAAAGGACACAAAATTCGGATTTAAACTCTCTTTCTTCAAGCACAAGTAAGCTGCCCGGAAAACAGTCAAAAGGCAGCTTTCGTACTAACTTCGCGCCTTTTGTTGAAGGCCTTCCCGAACTCCAATTCTTCATCCAATTCCTTTCCTTTGTTCACAAACATACCTAGTTTCATGTTGTGGAAGCCTTTGGACTTGAATCAGATCCATACTCCTCGAATCAAGCTCCAAAGTAGGCTTCACAAAACAGTTTCCAGACTTAACCATTTTCTGGCAGTTTTTCAATTTTGAGGTAGCAACTTTGAGGCCTTGGAAACCAATCTTAATGACATCATCTGGATCCAAAAAGCATACCATTGGAAACATGGCAACTTTATCTGCAAAACAAACTCTTGATCTCCAATTTACATTGAGCCATTTGTGAGATACAAGCTTCCAAAGTAGGCTACCTGAAACTGTTTCAACACTTAGCCAAAAATCAGAATTCTTCAAGTGAGGTGAGATAGCTTCTTTGACAAGTAATTCTGAATTGTGGATTGATCCAATTGGGATCATATCAGGCTCCCCCTCTTCAAAAAGCTTTGACCTCAAAGCTTGAAGCTGCTTCTTGTCAAAAACTTCACAGAATTGTTCCCAAAGTGGATCGAAAGTAGGGTGCTCAAACTCAATTTTCGACATAACTATGGCAGCTTCTAATTCACATTCAATCTGTTCCAGCCGCTTCGTTGGACTCCAAGGTTCACATTCCACCCAGACAATGAATAAAATTTGACCCAGAATTGAATTTGGCAAACTTACAAAGTTCGGCCGTGAAATTGCAGTTTCCGGCGAGTTCATGTTTTCCGGCGAGGTCTTCAAAATTGGAGCTTTCCAATTCACTCCGTTCTGACCCAATTCTTTGCCTTCAACTGATTTCCAGGGTCTCGAGGAGTCGATTACACCCATTCCCACGCTTCGATGCTCTCCAACTCGTCGCCAATCATCAGCCCCGACTTTCCCGCCACCGGAAATTTCGAATTTCCCAGAAACCGGCGAAGAATTCCCAGATTCCGGCGAGCAAAAATTGACATTGGGAAATGGTGATTCTGACCCTTTCGTACCGGTTTTTGAGCTTGCACACCATCCTTGGAACTCCAGGAATCGATCCCAAGTATCAGACTGTCTCGATTCTTGCTCAAACGCGACATCCAATTCACCATTCTTGCACTCGACGTTCTTCACAA